ATTCAGTGTGCACCGGAGTACTTCAGATGTGTGACCCAAACCCTTCGGTATATATCGAAGTGCTTCAGACATCTGACTCGAACTTCGGCAGCTGGACCTCAAGTTTTTAGATATGTGATCCGAAAACTTCAGAGATCCATATGACCTCAACTTTGGGTCCCTCGCACGAGGTTTTTTTCTCCGTGCAGAACCTAGAGAGCGGTTACATGAACCGAGAGACCGGTCGCATGAACCGAACAATACGGCCGATATTGAACACCGTGCATTCGGTTCATATGACCGAACATTTTTTTTCTCAGCGCGGCGAGAGCAAACCTCCCTTCCGTCCGCTCGGTCGCTGGCTCCTGATTCGGCAACGGGAGAAAAAGACGGGGACCGTCACGTCGGGTCGTTGGAGTCGGAGCCGCAATGGTGTGGTGGTGCCTACGGTAATGTCGAAACGGGCCGGGGCCGGGCCAAGCCGCAGAGGAAACCGCAGGCCGGTAAGGATCGAGGCCAATTACCGCGACCGGTATCGTAATTATTATACCCCGAGATCGAAACACCGCGAGCCGAGGAAACTGCGGTCGGGCTCAATTTTTCAGCCTCTCCGACTTCGACCAACCCGCTTCGTTCGGGCGCACCTGAGCCCAGGATCATGAGTCATGCTATCGTTTTTCGAGGCGAGAGCTGTAACGTCGACTCAGTGCAGCGAAAATAAATTGTTTTGCTCGGAACACAAGAAACAAAATTTTGGTGAGGTCGCATCTGAGCCGAGAATTATGAGTCATGCTATCGTTTTTCGAGGCGAGAGCTGCAACGTCGACTCAGTGCAGCGAAAAGAAATTGTTTTGCTCGGAACACAAGAAACAAAATTTTGGTGAGGTCGCATCTGAGCCGAGAATTATGAGTCATGCTATCGTTTTTCGAGGCGAGAGCTGTAACGTCGACTCATTGCAGCGATAAGAAATTGTATTGCTCGGAACACAAGAAGCAACATTTTGGTGAGGTCGCATCTGAAGATGTATCTATAAAGACTGTATGATAAAAGGGGTAGTGGAGGGGTATTGATAAGGGCCGTTTTTGAGGCCACCATGAATGCTCTCAACAGTATGATTTTTTTGCTCACTGAAGGTCCGTATTTCACGAGATGCATCATGATTTGGTCATTTTCGGTGGCTCTAATAGTCTTATACTGGCTTGAACATAAGTCTGAAGGTAGATTTTGGCGAAAAATACGGATTTGGTGGATTTGTGGTCAAATGCCAAAAGATCCACGATTTTCACCAAAAATCGCCTGTCAGTACCGTGTTCAGGTCAGTATTACACCTGAAAAGAGACCGAAAACATTAAATTATGTCGCATTCCGTAAAATATGGACTCTAAATGAGCAAAACATCGCAGAATTGGGGAAATTCAAGAGAGGCTCAAAAGCGGCCCTTTATCGATACCCCCTCTTTCCTAAAATACTGGTTCCACTTCAACTTTTTAGCAGAAAAAAAATGGAATCCTAATGATTTCACGCCGAGAAGCGTCCAAAAAGCGTCTCCTCCAAAAAAATAAATTTTGTTAACGCGAAATTTAACAGTTTGATTTGACGGTAAATTCCAGCTTTACTTTAAGTTTAACAAAATAGAATCATTGGAAAGAGACAGTTAAAGTTTGTCTCTGGGCCTAATTAATCCGTTTCTTGCCAAAAATGAAAGAGAAATCAGTAACTTAGCAGAAATTTGTCCGATTTCTTTGTTCCATCGGTTTACGTTCGCCATCGAGCCGCGTCTCAGGGGCATGCTTTTTGACGATTACTGATCATAAAATCTGGATTTGAACTTGTAATTGAAACGAGGAAGAAAGACGGGTAGCGGCTATAAGCTAGTCTGTTTTAATATTATAACGAGGAAATCTAGTGATCAGTAGTAGTGGCAACTTTAACTCTGAGTCCATTGAATCTACTGCTGAGAAGCAACCAGTGCACTACCAGTTATATGATCTGATCATACTCACGAAAAATTTTGATTTTTGAAGACGTTGAAATACCTCAAAGATTGCGAGGGAATCGTAATGATCGTCATCTTTTTTTGCGACTGATCCACGAGCGTGAGTCATAAAATCAACGATTGCGCTTAAAATGCCAAAACTAGTGCTAAAATTCCATATGCCACCATTTTAGATTCCGCGAGTACAACATGAGAAATCTGATACACGGATCGGAGGATTCGTTAGCCGAGGACCAACCCTCGACGGAGCACAACTGGTTCACGGCCCCGAAAAACGAGAAGCGTGTTATTATAATAGCGGATAAAGGGCTGTTTGGAGGGCTGCGCCCCCTAAATCATAGCATTTCGAGGGGAGCACTTAAGGGAGTGTACACAGAGATACACAATAAGCTCTTCGGACAATGTTTATACCTCGCGGAGCCGATTAGGCAATCGAAAACGGAGGCCCACCGGAAAGCTGAACAAAAAATTACCATTCATGTCACTTAAAAACGGGCCCCGGGAAAAAATGTCACGACAATGATACAAGCGAGCCCTGGGGAGGGCGGGGGTAAAGTGATACTTCGGAGCGCGACCCCTCTCGGCGAAGGGGCGTCAGTGGCGGGGAAATAACTCATATCGCCCTTTGATCGACGCTCAAAGGGTGCTCCGCCATTTTGCTCGCGCTTTGCCCTCCCCTCGACTCGCCATTGCAAACGCGGCTCCAGCCCGCGAGCTGCGAGTTCCCGCGGATGTCGGGTTGATGATGAATTTTTGAGCGTTTTTTCGGGGTTGATCTCAAATTTTCGGATTTCAGACTGACTGAAACTTCAGTGGTTGGAGGAAATGCCGCTCAATAATATAGGGAGGAAACATGATGCAATATTTTCGGATTTCGGGACGAATGAAACTTCAGTAGTGAGAAGCAGTGCCTCTCAGAAAGATAGGTAGGAAAAACATAATACAATACACAAGAGTACATTGAGGAATCGCGCAAATTGGGCGTATTTTCTGTTGAGGAGGTTTTAAGCTTGAATTAACTTCGGGGCAAAACTAGAAAAAATACCTTTCAAGTAAGGGGAATAATAAGCACTTACGAAACAGGTAAAATTTTACAGCAAACCGTTTTACAGCACTACAATTTTCGAGTAATATTTCAGTAATTTGGCCTAAAAAGGCTTTGAATAACTACAGTAGATCCTGTTGAAAACACTTTTTCTTAACATTTACGTGTTGCAAAACTACATTAGATCTTGCTGTTTAAAAAACATTTTTTTTAAACTTAAGTTTCACCTCTCCGTAAATGTTTCTTAAAAAAAATCCAAAAATATAATTCCTTTTTGCATTTTCATTACCTCTTTAAATCTTACAGGGTTTCTTAAGCTTCATTTAACAGTCGTTGCTGCACGAGATTTATTTCTGCCTTTTAATTTGTATAATTTTAATCATTTTACAAAGACGAGCCATCGTGCGATACCAAACGACGCTAAAAAGAAAGAAAAAACTTAGTTTTATTTGTCATCCCCCTTCATCTTAACTTTCATCCGATTCTTGTGCTGTTTCAGTGGAAAATATTGAAAATGTAAAACTTAATTTTACAAAAACTCAAGACTAAAATTGTTCGAATCAGCTTGAGCGCTGCAATTTTATGGAAGAATTCAATGTAAGTCATAACGCGTTGCCAAATTTCTACCGAAAAATCACGAATTTTCAGCAAAATTCGAGAGTATTTTCATTCGATTTTTCCACAGGACATCGTTCATAATTTGTTCTAAAAATTCTGAAAATTTCAAGAAAAAAACATTTTTAAAGTTCTTCAAAGATACATATTTTCTGAGATGAAATTTGGCAACATTTGAAATCTCATACGATGTTTCTACTTAGTTCAGCAGAGCTACCCTGTTGGTTAACGAAATAAATCCTCTAGCCATGGATTTGTTTCGAAGTTTCATGGTCTGCCAACTCGCAGGGATCCCCGCGGAGACAGGGTTAGGAATCCAGGGTGCTCTGCAAGAAGGGGAGGGATATAAGGGGGTGCGCACGAGGGTGACTAATTAAATAGATTTTACAAACGCGTTGGCTCGGCAACTTGCCCCATTATTTGCTACGTGGGGTCTCCAGCTTGGGGAAAGCTTCATCCCAATTCTGAGTTATTACAAATGGCCGACTGTCATCGCCAATAGTCGCGTCAAAAGCACGGAGAGATTTTCAGTCCGAATTGGACTCAGCTTATGGTAGATCGATGCAACTCTGATCATATTGAACTGCCCGAAGTAGCATTTTTCAACGGAAAAATTGCGATATTTTGACATTCAGTTGCGAATGATCATGATGTTCTTGAAAAGGTTTCTAGCCTTTTAACAATAAATCAAATATATTCATTAAACGCTGAAAAAAAATCTCGGTGTATTTACTAAGAAAAGGGTAAAATTATCAAGAATTCAGGGTTCTATTTAATCCCAGTTTTTTCTTGGTAAAATTACCTTTCATGGAATTGGTAATTTTACCGAAAATTCTCGGTAAAATTATTGAGCTTTCTCGGTAATTTTACTGGACCTTGGTAAAAACGCCGATGTTTTTATCGACTGTGGTAGAATTATCGAGATAAAATGGCAAAGTTACCGGGAATTGATTACCAATAAAAGTGGTATTCTTACCTGAAAAAACAGTAAAAACACCAGTTTTTAGGTAAGCCTACCAGTCTGTCTTGGTAAAATTACCGAGATGGTAAACGTACCAACGGACCGTGGTAAAAACGCCGAGAATTTTTTTTCAGTGCATCAAATCGAACTGTCCCGAGCAGCGTTTTTCAACGGAAAAATTGTGATATTTTGACAATAAGTTGCGAATAATCATGATGTTCTGAAAAAGGTTTCCAGCCTCTTAACAATAAATCAAATGTTCAATAACTAATGAGTTAATAATACAAAAGAGAGATAGAGAAAGCGAGGGTGCGAAGAGAAGAAGACCGAGGGAAAAGAAACAGAGGACTACTGCACCAACAACAATAGCGCTGTAAGTAATGTAAAATTTTTTGACTCTTACCTTTCCTCTTTCCTTGTCGAAATCGCATTCTCTATTTGCAGCACCCAGATGGTAGCCATTGGCTCCAATATTAAACACTAGTTGAAGGTTCGTACCAGTCGCCACAAAAGCCTGTTGGAATGAGCAAAGGAAGAACGTAAGATGTCATATAAAGAAGATATCATATGATATATGATGATGATATCTTATGATATGACATATCATAAAATATCATATGAAGATACCACAATACATATTTATTAACTAAAATACTACTACTAAGGGACTTTTGGATCACCCTGTATAATATATACCTTGACATTTAGATAGAAAAGCACATTTTATCATTTTAAGCCAGTAAAGTTCTGAAGCGAATTTCCATTTCTCTTTTGTATATACTCAACAATCTTCAATCAAAGAGGTCGTGGAAATTTATAGGCTTTCTAGTCTTCGTTAATTTTACAATTGCAACCTTTCGATCATTGTGGCACGATTCCGTGATCAGGAAGACTGTCCTGTTCAGAAGATGACAATTGTCACCCTCACTTAATTCAAAAACTTGAAACCAACATTGGTTAAAAATTACTTACTATTTCTGTATGTCCTTCTCTGCACCCATTTTGGAATCTCACTTGTCTTTCTTCAGCAGGCCTATCCCTGTATCCGGTGTATCGTACCTATAACAGAGAAAATTCAAAATTAATCAGAGCACAAATATCAAAAAACTGGACGGTTTGAAGGGATGGCTTCACGGTAAAGTTTTACTTGGTAACTTAATGTACGTCATACAGGCGGTAAAAGTCGATATAACAAACTACCTATCGCGTTTCTTTAAACATATATCTCTATTTCTCCTAAAATTCCTTATTACAAAAGGAAACGAACCAAACTCTCAGTAAAATTTATTAATTCATTTTCTTTCAGTAATTTATTTTGAATAAAAGAGTTTTACAAGTTTGGCGCAATGCGTGAAGTATTCCGACAGTCTTGAAGATAATATGATTTTCACGCCGCGCCGACCGCTGCTGAACGCACTGTGTTTGACGCAATGCGTGCAGTATTCAGACATTCTTGCAGGCGCTATCCGTTTCACGCTGACCGCAGTGACCGCACTGTGTTTGATGCAATGCGTGAAGTATTCGTGCAGTCTTGTAGGCGCTAATATGTGTTACATGCCGATCGATCGCGGCGCGGCGCCGAGGGCTTCTCCTTTTCATCTCAAGTCCTCGTCATCATTTCTCTCCAAGTCGCGCCGTTCCAGGCCAAATTGCGTGTTTTGTTTCTCCCTTAACTCGACTAATTAAAGGTGCTGTCACTCGTATCACTGAAAGACGACAAAATTAGAAATTACCATACTCTCAGGAAATGAGAGATTTTGTCTCCTTTTTTCGTTTGTAATTTTTTTTTCTAAATCCGACTTTTTTTATACTTACATTTAAAAAAAATTTCAAAATTTACCGCCCCCTAGATTTGCCGCCATGGGCCGCGGCCCATGTGGCCACCCCCTTAATCCGGCCCTGCCTAAACATGGATTTTAGGGAGGATAAAGCTTCAAACCTTTTTCTCTCGATTCAAACTTGATGAGCTTGGCATTTCTCGTAAATTCGGTTCCTACCTATGGTCCATTCAACTACCTTTGTTTTACGATTTTACTTTTTATTGTTTTATTTTACGTCTTGTGCTGTAAGGATCGCTTCTACTCTGCCGTGATAACGAAGAGAGCCGTAAGTGCACAATTTTTGAAATCGAGTTTTCTTCAAAATTCGTCTAAACTCTTTAGGATGAAATTACTGAGACAGCTAAAACAGCAAAATTCATCCTAATTTAATGAAAACGAGGCATATGAGAAAGCCGTAAGTGCACAAAAAATGACATATTTTTTTTCAAGACAGCCGCAGGTGCATGAGAGCCAATGAAAACAGTGCTTTCCAGTAAAGTGCCGCCCTCTTCTGCCAATTTCTACCCTGAAAATGTGTTTGTTGTGCGTCCAAAACGCAACCACGGAAGCATGCAGAAGATAGCACTTACGGCTGTCTTGCCTAACAATAACCTAGCATGAAAATGAAAAATACCCTTTTTATGAAATGGAAATAAAATCAGTCGATTTTTAATCATCCATACGATTTCTAGGAGTCTTTGGGACGATTAGTAGCAATTTGACAAAGAACGGAGGCTTCTCTCAACAAAATGTTCCGGTCAGAAGCTTCTGAGCCCGTTTGCTCAGAACTTCATTTTTGCACTTACGGCTCTCTTCGCTATCACGGCAGTACTTAGGCCTTGTCTCCGCGAGCCGTTTCACGAGATTTGTCCCAGGGAAAAATCCCACTTACTAAGTTGGGAAAAATATTGAGTTAATCAATATTTTTCCCAGTACCAAGTATGGTACTTGTATCCCTAGGACCCACTGAGAGAAGAAGAAGAAGTGAAAACGAATTTGCGATATTTTGTTCATTACTACATTGTTCATGTTTGTTTAGTTAAAATAATGTGTCTAATTGTCAGTTGAGTGCAATTATTATTTTAATCCCGGTTAAATACTCGACTTTAACTAATTTATCTTCCCGCGCAAATTAGTCGCAGGACTGTATGAGCCCCGTCCCGTGGAGACGGTAACTGGGAAAAATCCTAGAAGTTTCATTCCTGCGATTCGAACTTGGGACAAATCTTATGAAAACGTCCCGTGGAGACAAAGCCTTATGAGCTAGATATCTTTCCCGAGAAATTTGCTTTCGCTTGACTAAACGTCCCCGATTTCATCTCTGCATGCATGATACAGATACCCGTGACGATGGACGCCGAACGGATCTCAAAGGGTTATTCGGCTCCGGCGGGCGGGGATTCGACGCGGCTCATTTGCCTCGGGAAGTGACACGTCGACAAGACGCGACACAACGACGAAAAGGCGACACAACGATTACAACGCGCCGGTGTCAATCGGGTGAGTTACGAGGTGCAATTACGATTATCGACCATCACCGTGAAAATGCGGCCCTTTTTTGTGCGGCGTCGCGCCCGCGCCCGCGCCAAAGGGTGAGCAGGATGCGACGCCACCGGCCTGCGCCCGGGAGATAGGCGTCCCGTCGCACAGAGAGGTCCCCGGCAAATTTTCAGGCCAAGTTTTAACCATCGAACTTTCCATTTTAGTTTTTAGACAACTCGGTATCAAATTTGACCTTTTACGAGAAAATAGATCTTAATCACACTGAAAGAAAATCCGGCCGTGGGAGCCGCAATTACGGGCTATATAGACATACCGTCCGTTCCGGGCTCAAAGGCCGAAAATTCCGGCTGCTGGAGCCGCAGCTTCGGCCTCTAAACCTGGAGCAATCGAAGCTACGCCTCCAGCAGCCGGAAATTTCGGCCTTTGAGCCCGGAACGGACGGTATGTCTATGTAGCCCGTGATTGCGGCTCCCACGGCCGGAGTAATTTTTTGTTTCATAAAAACTTCAGCAGTTGTTGAGTTATTGAAACCACAGCATATAGGAGAGTCACGCGAACTTTTTCGGGAAAATGCTTAAAATTGTTAAAGCCAACTCGAGCTCAGAAGTCTAAAAAGAAACCGAAATTTTGAGAAATGAGAGACTCTACTATTTAAAATCCTTATCTTTCATGTTCAGAGCACGAAATCATCGGAGTGAAACGTTATTTAAACGTTATTGCGAACAGGGCATTTGTTCTAATTGATGTAATTTTCATAATAGCTTTTATTTCCTTTAATGCCTTTTAACGGTACAAAAATGATTAAAATCGCTCGCAACATATCTGAAAGGATACGAAAACAATTTAGACCTGAATTTCTAAATCCCATTTTTGACTCGAAAAAAACCACTGTACCGAAAATTTTGCTACAATATGTTTCAGGCACCTTCTCCCGAGGACAGTCACATAATGCAACTACTTCAAAGATTTTGTGTCGACAGTGGCTATGAAATGCAACGGTGGTTTGGAAATCATTATAACTTTTATTGCTGGCCAAGGCTTTATAGTCGAGTTTTCGACATTATTAAAGCTTGTAAGTCACATTAACTACTTGAGTACATGTTAAAATAAGCTCTTAAACTTTTTCGACACATGTTCAATCAGTGTTTACGACGCATACCCGCTGAAAAGCTTCGCCCATCAGTGAAAAATTTGATAATTCTCACAACGCCTTCTTTTCGTTGTACGTCTATGTAGTATACTGGAAAAAAGTCTCTTGAATCTAGATTTCAGACTCTTGAAAATTTGACAAAAACAATACTCTTGATGCAATCAGATTTTTGCTCGGATCAAGAGCCAAACTCTTAATTTAAGCGGATTTTCTTTTGATTCAAACAAAAATCCGATTGAATCATTGGTGATTTTTTTGTGTCAAATTTAAGAGTCTGAACGGTGGACCCAAGAGACCTTTTCCCCCAGTGTTTTAAAGGCGCGGTGCGAGCAAAAATAAACGGAAATCACACAAAATGTTAGAGGAAGCTTTGCTTTCAATACAAATTCAATTTGATTCCGTATAAAGCTGAGACCGTCCGTGGGATCAGGGAAAATGGCTTTCGGATTGAGGCTAACCTGAATTCTTCAGAAAAAGACGTCTACATATTTACTCTTCTCGTGCCCACTGTGCGACAAAATGAGAAACAAGTGGATGGAATCGAGGAGGAGTAAATTGGATCGGGAGTGGATTTAAATACGAGCGGATCGGATCGAAGAATTGAGCCTATACCCATTCCCACGCCGAAAAAGGTATACGCGTGGTAAACGCGTGGCACCCAGCGAGAAGCGCTGTTTGGATTTGCGTCCTTTGAAACTTCTATCTTCGAAGTCGAGAGAAAATCAGCCGTTTACCACTTTCATCCCAATTAATCTACATAGACCCACGGAAAAAAGAATAACAAGCGGGAAAAAAAAAAAAAAAATTCCCCGAAAATTACTGATATTTGGACCCTCAATTTTCTATCCAAATGCATTCGCCTTCATTTTATAGGGTAGGCAAATGAGGAATCCTAGAAGCTGAAATAGTGGTAGCAAATGTCATATCCTAGTTGAATGCGCGCGGCGTGTTTAGGAACATTAATGGTGAAATTTTAACAAACACCCTCTTCAATTTGATCAAATGAAGCCACATCATATATTGGAAAATTTCCTCGATTTTTCTTACTTTAGATTTCACTTTTTCAGGAAATTTAAACATAGTCTTGGATACATAAATATATATGAGAAAAATTGGAACGATTGTCGCAAAGAAACATTCATCAAATATCATCTTAGACAGAGACGGAATAATTTGTTACGTCACTGTAAAGGCTCATTGCGCCGGCTTTGTTGTGATGGCGAATTTTCCTCGCGAGGACAACAAAATTTGCGAACTATAGTAAATTGCGCTAGGTACGACGCGAGACGAAAAAATTTTCTTCTAGCGATGAAATTGTTTCCGGGGTATATGTTCCTGCGAACGTATTCCTCACGAATTTATTTTTTGCACCCCAATCAAAGATACTTCTGTTCTAAATTTTGTATTTTTCTCTCCGCACCCACACATGCGCGCAATCTTTACACAAACACGCACCCAAGATACTCACACGTGGGGTATGAGAGCAACCGGGAAAATAAGTTTCTCCGCAATCAAATAAATTTCCATTTTTTCAAAAGTAATTATTTATTCCTGTTTCCTATAACTCAACGATAAAGTGCATATTATTTGTGTTTTTTATCCACGCACCGTATTTTACGCACAAACTGGAGCGCGAGCAGTCTGTGTACCGACCGATAATTTAAAAAAAAAAAAAAAACACTTTCTCGAAGTAATATAGTTTCGCCTACAATTTCCGAGTTCCCCTCTGCGAACTCCTTGCAAAGGATCTGAGTAGAAACACCCTCACAGTTCAGAGAATTCCTAGTTACAGCATATTTTCCCGGTGAACGTTGACAGACGAACATAAACAAATGCACAAGTTGACATTTTGAAGAGTCGTAGGGAGAGTTTTTTGGATCTTACGTGGAAATTCTCGGTTCTACTCCCGGCAGCACTTATAGGGTGCGGCTTATACGAAAAATTAAAAATGATGAATTTTCAAATTGACAAGAGACCCCGCCAAAACGTTTCTAATAGTGTAAAAATGAACGTTGCGGAACAGTTTTGCAATTGGTCAACATTTAGAGGTCCCGACGGACCCTCAAAGTCGCAAAATTCGGCTAATTTTCGCATTTTTTCATCAATTTTGGCGAATTTTCTCAGGCCTCACGGATAGTTCTTCATGATAAATTTATTCATAAATAGGCAATAAATAACCAAAATGCACCCCATCCTCCCATGTAAGCCCCCTCATCCCCCCAACCCCCCTCCCTTAACATTTCGATTTAAATACACTCTTTACAAACTACGCTATGTTGGTAGTGACCAGAGATCTAAAGTAACACTGGTCAACATGGGTTAAAATGTGATTGCTCCAGGGTAGTTTTTAGCGCTGAGTTCGAAAATGACCTCCGTCATTCTGGGTCAGATCGACTTTCCCCGGAAAAATCAGGATTTTCCTGAAAAAATCGAGCTTTTCCGGAGAAAAATCAATTTTCCGGAAAATCTGTGCGTTATGGAGAAAAGCTAAGGTCATTTTCGGATTCAGCAGCTAAAATAACATGGGGACCAATTGTTGCATGCCTATTCAAGTTTCCATTCTGTTCCTAATATCGAGGTTTTTCCGGACAGGTGCTCCTTTCCGCCCATGTAACGCATGTAATACTAATCCGATTCGGAAAGGAGGGAACATATTTTTTCTCCGGCAACAAGTGGAGTTACCTCCACTAAATTATTGCCACTGCAGCCTATTCTTGCATTTCTTTGAAAATTTTGAGGAAATTGCTTCGCACAATGCAGAAAATTCACTGAACTTCGCACAAAAATCCGCACATCGGTTTTCACGTAAAAAATTAAAGTGCCCAATTAAATTTGGGAATCGCTGATGTGGCTTGGTTCTCCGCTTGACGCAAACAATTAAGAAACCAAAGCTATCCTCCCACTCATTAGTTTCCTCGTAAACACGAAATTCTCCGCTCCCGCTTCCATCCGCGACACTCGACTACCCCGGAAAACTCCGACGCCTACCCCTCGAAAGTAACACTTTCTTGGACGTATCATTGTGTTCAGTTCACTTAGTAGTTTCCAATTGAGCACGAAATTCGTCAAATTTCAGATACCTGCAAATTCTCCATTCCCGCTCCCATCCTCGACACTTGACACCCCGGAAAACTTCGACGCCTACCCCTCGAAAGTAACATTTTCTTGGTTGTGTTCTAGTTCACTGAGTAGTTTCCAATTGAACACGAAATTCGTCAAATTTCAGACACCTGCGAATTCTCCAAATTTCAGACACCTGCAAATTCTCCATTCCCGCTACCACTGAACAAACACCCCTCGACCCTTCGACACTTGAGTCCCCCGGAAAACTTCGACCCTTACCCCTCGAAAATAACACTTTCTTGGACGTATTGTTGTGTTACGTTCACTCAGTAGTTTCCAATTGAACACGAAATTCGTCAAATTTCAGACACCCGGAAATTCTCCATTCCCGCTCTCTCGACACTTGACACCCCGGAAAACTCCGACCCCCACCCCTCGATAAACAACTTTTCCTTGGACGTACCTCACTCTCCCTGCTGAGTCGCCTGAAGAGCTCGTCGGACTCGAACTTGGCCTTCTGGTCGGGGACGACGCGGGGCATTTTGAAGAAGAAGCGCGGCTTGGGCTGCTCGTAGAGCCCGATGGAGTCGAACGGCAACATGCCCGGCAACGCACTCGGATCGTTCACTGAGAGCATCCTGAACCAAACTGACCCGCCCCGGGTCGCGCCAGACCGCCGCGGCACCGCCGAACCGGAGGACCCGCCCCCCGAGGCGGGGCCCGCCGCTCTGCAACGCTCCCGATTGGTCCAGGGGATGCCCCTCTCCCGAGGGAGCGACCCCTCGAACTTCGAATTCGACGCCGGACGATTTCAATCCGCGATCCGCTGCTTTTTCACGTTCACTTTTACCCGCTCATAAAACCTTGTTACACTGAAAAAAAATTCTCGGCGTTTTTACCGAGGTCCGTTGGTACCCTTACCATCTCACTTTTTTTACCAATTATTGGCAATTTTACCAAGACAGACTGGTAAGCTTACCTAAAGACCGGTACTTTTACTGTTTTTTTTTTTTTTTTTTTTCAGGTAAGAATACCACTTTTATTGGTAATCAATTCCCGCTAACTTTGCCTTTTATCTCGGTAATTCTACCACAGTCGATTAAAAATATTGGCGCTTTCACCGGGGATCAGTAAAATTACCGAGAAAGTCAATAATTTTACCGAGATTTCTCGGTAAAATCACCAATTCCATGAATTGTAATTTTACTAAGAAAAAACTGGGATCAAATAGATCCCTGAATTTTTGGTAATTTTACCTTTTTCTTGGTAAATACACCGAGATTTTTTTTCAGTGTAAACGGAGCATCAACATTCGGATCCGTGAAATTTACACTGAAGTAGGGCACAAAACTTCTTAAAAAAAAAAAAAAAAAAAAAAAAAAAAAAAAAAAAAATGGTGGGTTTTTTTCATTTTTTAGAAAATAATCATTGCGTTAACTTATTCATATTGGGTAGAGTGAATTGCTTGAGATGCAAATGGACCGCGTTAAGCAAAAAGGAACCAAGCCACATCAGCTATTGCCAAATTTAGCTGAGCACTTTAATTTATTACATGAAAACGGTGAAGCGGATTTGTTTGAAAATTTCACTGAATTTTCTGCATGTTTCAGGGCAGATCCCCTAAAATTTGCCAAAAACATTCGCACAAATGTTCTCTTGTAGAAAATTAAATACCTCAGTTAAATGTGGGAACAGCCGATGTGGCTTGGTTCCTTTCTGTTAAACGCGGTCCAAATATTGTTGAATTTCAGATTTGAAGGGATTTTTCTTAAATTAAAGAGGAAGATGTTTGTTGGGAAGAAGGCTTTGGATACTTGAAAAAAGGATGGCGAAGTCATCCTTGATTTAAAGGCAATATCTCTGACCGCAAATTCAGGTAATTTTTCATCCAGCGTATCTGGAAAAAGGTTTCGAGCCTTCCATGAAATTAAATATTTTATCGGAGGAAAGGCAAAGCCTGGATAGTAGGAACTCAGAGTCAAAAGGTACTTTACTTTATTTTAATCATTCTCAGATATCAGGGAAAACCTGCGTGTTGGCCTCATTGACTCCAAAGTATATAATAAATCGCAATTTTTGAAAATTCGTATCTTATAACCGGCGTTAGATAGGGCTATCAAATTTTTCACACTCACGGAACCTTTATTGGAGAATTCCAAAACTACACTTACTTGATATTTTTCAAAAATGTGACTCACGTACTTTTTGGCTCCGAAGGTACTGAATATATATATACGGCGTTTTTACTTAGCGCGGTATAGTGAGGCTTCCAAAAAAAAAAAAAGAAAGAGAGAAGAAAGATCGCAAATTACGTAATTTAAAAAGTACGTATAATAAATTATAACATATAACATGCGTGTTCGGGTATACTCTCTCATTTCATTGATAATAACATGCAAGATGCGTTTCTCCCGGTAGGAAAAAAAATTGTAGTTAGCACTTGTCATAGCCGGGATGGCAAAATTCATCGTTTGTAAGACGAAGGAATGTAACTTAAATAGTACAACGCTGCAATTCCTATCCACAATTAGGTTGTAACATTTGGATTAATTGCATTTTGCAAAAAGGAACCACTAGCATTGCAATGTTGCTAAGATTGTGCAACTTCTTTTGTCTTGGAGGAAAAACCCGATTATCCCTTAATAGTTTCTATTTCACTCGCTAAAAACTGTAAATTTAAGACAAAAATTACCATCTAAATTTAATGGTTTTTCACAATTTCCGCAATTTTATTGCAAAGGATGAAGTTGCATAATCTTAGCATCATTGCAATGCTAGTGGTTACTTTTTGCAAAATGCAATCCATTTAAAAGGAAACTTGAAAAGAAATTTCCCTGGAATATTCTGTGGATATTTCTGAATGTATGAGTGAATACAAAGTCAAGGAAACAGTGGTTGGTTTTGTTTTTTTCTTTTAAAACTTTGAGAAAACACAGGCAATAAGCAGCTCGACGCAATCGTCGATACGTTTCCTTCGACTTTGTAGTCATCTACAGGTAGACGTTATAGATCACCGACCATTTACAACTATTTTTATTTCTTTTAGGGATGACGTATAAATCACCTCTTGACAGCGAGAATACCTCATAGAATATTGTCCCTTAAAATTTTGACGCTTGACACTATTTAAAATTGTACGTTCAAATTGTTGTTTTGGCATGAGACTTGAGAACTCATATTTACTGAAAAATAAGGCAGAGGTAATTCTCAAAATTTTTCCAATTTATTGGTTCAAGTGATTTGACTCCAAAATTTTTCGGTTTTTAATTTTGCCTATGTTTATGGGAATTTCTTAATTTCGATCGAAGAGTCCTGAATAATTTTAGGCAATACAATTGATAAATGTATATAGAGTTGAATTTCAATTTAATGTATTCTTTTTGACCCCCCCTCCGATCTTGTTTTACATTTTATTCAACTTCCTGTTGATGACGTTCCGGACAGTTCAGACAGGTAGTCGTAGTAGTAGTCGTCATCTGTACCTACAACAACATGACCAACTTTTTACACTGATATCAAGAAAAATGTCACAATCAGAGGCAGTATATTTTAGAGACCCCGCACTTAAAATCTGAGAAATGTCATCAGGTTGGTCAGAAGTTAAGTTCGGAGGTCAAAGTTTATGATGATTGGGTCGGGACTCAAAAGCGCAAACCCCACAAGTGAGGGACACCAAATGAGGATAAAAAGAGAGTTTCGAGACTTGCCCCACAGCCAAAAATACCTAGATAAAGGCATAGGCGGTTCTACGGGGGTGCCAGTGGGTGCCAGGCACCCCCAAATCAAACTTTATGTTCGTTTATCGGAACCGTGAAATTACTGCTTTTAAAGATTCTCTATTCGCTCACTCTGAGAAAAAATCCCAGCAATTAATTAAAAATGTTTTAAACAGAATTCAAATTGATAGCCGTGTTTTACAAAGATTCCACTTTTTTTTTTATGGTAAGATTGTAGTTTTGATGGAAAGTTTTTCTAAAAATTTTCTAAATTGAATTTACAGGTATTCAAGTGGAGAGGAAGGAGAGAAAAAGAGGAAGGAGGGTAGGGAAGGGATAAAACTTGAGGGCCGAAACTTGGGCCTCCCCTGAGCGACCGTCCCCTTTGGAGCCGGTCTCCGACATTTTCCACCTCTGGGCACCCCCAAGAATGAAGGTCTAGAACCGCCTATGGATAAAGGAAAACTTAAGGTACGTGATTCGTCATGGATTCTGACTTGGTTGAACTAGTGTGCGGTGTACCGCATCGACTCATGAAAAATTCTCGGTAGATTGTGAAATTTCAGGCCAAAAAAGGACTTTAAGCACTGTGCAGTGGACAAAGAAACCAATAAGAATAATTCGAAACCAAAACATTTGCAATATTCAGAGAAATGAAAGCAGGATTTTTTTTTTGGGGGGGGGGAGGGGGGCCTCGCATTCGATACAGCAATCGATTTCTGTATCGAATGTGCACGCCAGTCCGACCACGCCAAAAACCGTGACGAATCACCTCAAGAAGAAACGTATATGCCTTAACCAGGATTTTAGGGGAGGAACTTTAGGGCGGCTTCGAGAATTGTTCTTTAAGAATTCCGCACTAAAACGTGAAAATCATTTTTCAAGAAGGTCGAAATAATCCAAGCAAAGGACGACCCGTTAATGGAAGTTAAAGAAAACCCTACAAGTCTTGTTCAGATACTTACATTTTTTGCTATTTTAAGTGTTGACAACGTTGAGATATATTTAAACAATCAATGCATTTTTCGGAAAATTGACAATGTTGCGATAAAACTTAGTATAGGTTAACTACATCGGCACAATCGGCGTGGAATTATGTAGAGTACCTATATTAAGAGAGTATGGCCACTGGGTCCCATGGAGAGGCTTAGGACCCAAAAATGGCGGTGCTTTGTTTTGGTTTTTGAGGATGGGAGGGGGGTCATTGCCAACTTTTGACGGTTATCACCAACCGCACTTGCTGCCAACCTTACTACATCTAAGATCATTTTTCTCAAAAATTGCACACGATTAGCCTTAAAAATATGTAAAAAAGTCGCAATAGTGCATTTGGGTAAAGTTCTCGTTACGATAAGCAAAGACAACTAAATTTTGAATCATTTTGCATTACATTAACTTTATGGCGTCCGCCATTTTTGGGTCCTAAGGGCTCCATTCAGCCTAAGATGGCTGAGCCAATCAGAGGTGGTAACTCCAGTGGCCATACTCTCTCAATATAGGTACTCTTGAACTATGGAGTGTCATATGCAACAAACACTGAGCGAATCTCATTTCAACGACTGGATGCAACTATTCGAGCCCCACGAATGAGCGTGTTGCATACGCACGGAAGAGAAGGCGCTTTTGGCTGCAGGCACTCGCCGCTTCAATCGGGGCAAGGTGCGACAGTGGACTGTATTACGAATTTACGAGGATCAAAAACCATAGAGTGCTTTAAAATCTTCTCTTATACTACGAAGATATCTCTCAACCACGAATACTTGCGCTAAAAATCATGCTCAGCACATTGCTATATCAACTGAACACAAAAAGATACACAAAACTGAAGCATCACAAAAGATACTCACATCCTACGCATTTGTGCAACTATGCGTGCTTAGTAAATGTCTTTGTATTACAATCGAAGAATAGTCCCTGTCATTTCTGAATTTGGATCCTCGCAGTATAACCCGCTGCGCCGTCATGCTGTGGAGGAAAAGTTGAAACGCCTTCACTTTCATGCGTATGCAACACGAGCTCAAATAATTGCATCCACGCTTCATAATGAAATTCGCAGTGTTCGTTGCATACGATAATAACTCAGGATGCTCTGTTCGTTTCTCTCACTCCTCAATTTAACTTTAGCGGTGCTAAAATTCGGCCGGCTTGAAGTTCCTCGCATAAAATTCTAGGTAAGGCGTTGTCAATAATCAAGTACATATTTCTTCTCGAGCTTTTCTTTATTTGTATTCTTGGGCTTTGATGAATAAACCGTCACAAATATATTACTAAACTTTTAAGCTATCATTCGTCGTGTTTTGGGCAGAGACCATTTAACAACACGACCTTAAAAATAATGTAACATTGCTATCAGCTTTCTAAAATAGATAAAATTGTTCTTGTCTCCTTTCCTCAAGCTTCAAGGGCAGTTATTCGTGCAAATGAGCCCTCGCTTCCACCACCTCGAAAGGGCAAATCTTCATCCGCGTTCATGGGGTTTGCGCCTTTGTTCGGAATTTTACCGATGATTGAAGATCACTTATTCAGCAATAATTCAAATAAAACACCCGTAATGATGATTGATGAATGTCGGGTTGAGCACTCTGCGGTGAACGAATTTTCGCAAATTATTAGGGTAGGATCGTCACAGTAATCGCTTAACTCTTTGTTCATCAATCATCATTTGGCGAATCTGAGCGCTGATTTCTGGAAGTAACTCTTACCTTACTTTACACAGAGAAGAAAGCAGTTAGAGGTCTCTGAAATATACTGTCTATGGTTCACAGTAAATTGTGGTTTTTTTAAAGCTATTGATATACAGGTATTTAAAAAAAAACAGGTAGAAATAGCATGAAGCGAAAGTTGCTTAGAGAGAGCAACCGATTCCATGAAATTTTATTATTTGTATATAACTACGAGTAAACTGAGGCACTTAAGCTTCAAAATGTATTAAATATGTACCAAACACTTCGAATCAAATATTGAATATGCTGACTGAAAAAAATACGAATTTAGGGGATACAAAAGAGAGGAGCATTAAGTATGATTTTGAGAAAATCCCCTTTTTGGAGCTGAAGCCCGGGCTGAAGAGTAGTCAGCCGAGGACTATGCTGTCATGGTAAGGAAAAAACGTCAGATGAACAGTCGGACCGGTGGCGATTTTTGAAACTTGGCAACACTGTTTTTCCACCATTCAAATCCATATAAAACAATCGATTCTTGGTGAAACAGCTTGCCTTATCAAGAATCGATATTTTTAATGGATTTATGTAAAGGATAAACAGTTTTGCCAAACTTACAAAATCGCCGCTGAGTCAGACGTTGCCCAACTCTTTTTGATTCAATATGAATTTTTAATAAAACTTGTGAGCTACGCCCAATATTTTCCAGAAAATTTTATTCTCAAGTTTTCCTGGTGCTTCTGAATACAAATATTATTATGGAAAATACTCGTTACTTGTTCGAAAATTTAATATTTTATTCGGAGGAAATTGGAAAGGTTCAACTGCTCATCTGTTTTTGCGATAGTAATTAGGTATGCGAGCATTTTAAAAAAGAATAGTTTAAGGAATTTTTAAAAGATTTTCTGATGAAAATTCATTGAAATCCTCTGCACTCATCAGTGGCTCATATCAAAAGGGTCGTATCTCATACTTTCGGAAAAATCGAGTCTTTTACACAGGGCCGGGTTTAGGGGGCGGTAAATTTTGCAATTTTTTCAAATGTAGGTATCAAGGAAATTTTGATTCAGAAAAAAACATTGCAAACGAGAAAAGGCGACAAAATCTCTCATTTCCTGAGAGTTAAAGTGTAGTAATTTTAATTTTTTCGTCTTTCGGTGATATTACAAGAGACAGCATCTTTCATTACTCGAGTTAAGAGAGAAACCGAAAACGAAAGTTGGCCAGGAGCGGCGCGGCGCAGATAGCAATGGTGACTCGGACTTGAGATGAAAAGGAGAAGTCCTCGGCGCGCCGGTCAGCATGTTACACGTATTAGCGCCTACAAGACTCCACGAATACTTCACGCATTGCGTCAAACGCAGTGCGGTCAGCAGTGGTTGGCGTGAATCGCATAGCGCCTACAAGACTGTATGAATACTTCACGCATTGCGTCAAACACAGAGCGTTCAGCGGTCGGCGCGCCGTGAAAAGCATAGCGCCTACAAGACTGTAGGAATACTTCACGCCTTGCGCCAAACATAGTGCGGTTAGCGCGGCGGCGGAAGTTAAAATTATTAAACCTCATTCGCATGTTTATTCTTTCATAATTTTTTTGTTCACCTCTTATAAATGAAAGGCCTTGTCCACACAGAGATAGGTTAGCGGAACTTAACTTTTGTTAGTGTTGACAGGGCTATCACAAAAAATGTGCCCAACACGAGTAAACGTGATGCTGAGTAAACTTGATGGTTTGTATTAATGTTTCAAAACGAATGAGAAGGGGGCGGTAAAATACAGGCGGCCCATGGGCGGCAAGTAGGTAAATCCGGCCCTGCATTTACATGAAAACGAGTAGAACTTTTGAAGGCGCGAAAAAAATTAGTAATGATATTTTGATCTAACTATTTCAAAATTTTGAATTAAATGGCGGTTGGATGCCGCAGAGCGCCAGAGAGCTTTCTGAAAGCGGTTCTTATGTATGTATGAGGCGAGAGTCGGCGTTTAAGCGTCAACACCAGATACCAAAGGTTCCTCATTAGCCAACCCTTCACTGGAAAAAAAAAACACATTGGATCTAGAGTCCAGACTCTTAAAAACATCGACAAGAAAAAGTACTCTTGATTCTATCAGAATCTAGCTTAAATTAAGAACCAAGCCTCTTAATTTAAGCGGATTTTGTTTGGATTCAAGCGAAAATCCGATTGAATCAAGAGTACTTTTTCTTGTCAATGTTTTCAAGAGTCTGGACTCTAGATCCAATGTGTTTTTTTCCCCAGTGTTTACTCACTTGTTCCATTATTTCCGTCACTTCCGTTACTTCCGTTACTTCCGCCACTTCCACCGGTTTCCTTCTGCCAGTCCTTCACGCAGTCGTACAACAAAATATACTTCCTCTCCTTTCCCGTGTTGACTTTAGCATAGCATCGCCCCGACTTGACAAAATCTTTGAACTGGAAACAATTCGCTCCATCGATCTGCGGGCACAACTTAGACTTCCCATTCGCAAAACCGGCCTCCTTCATAAACCGCACCGCATTGCGACAATCATCCAAGCGTCGGGCGTCCTCGATATCTTTGTAATCATCATCCCAATCGACATGCGCGAAATAGCGACAAGGGTTCATCTCCCAGATCGTCGTGTGCCCCACCTTGAGATCCTGATCCATCTCTTCATCGGACGGATCAGTTGGCTTCAATTCAGGTTGATTGTAGTAGCCCGCGCCTTCGGGGATCAGTTTCGCCTCGTGCGTGAGGTTATTTTGCTTCTGCCAATCGCGGACGCAACTATAGAATAGAACGTACTTGAGACCATCCGGTGCCTTGACCTTGGCGTAGCACCGGCTGTCTTTTTCCTTCTCGAAGAACTGGAAGCAATCGGCGCCGTCAATCTGCGGACACAGCTTCGACTGGCCGTTCTTGAAGCCGGCGTCGTGTATGGCCTGCGCATACTTATGGCAGCCTTGTCGCCGATCGTGGTTTTCGTCGGAGTGCGTGTCTTTACCGTACTCGTGGCAGGGGTTGCTCCACCAGAGTCTGTGTCCGTTGACCTTCATCTCGCGGTTGAGGACATCGTCGGGTGGATCGTCGGAGCGTTCTTCGGGTTGCCGGTACTTCGGGTCTCCGTCGGGGATTATGTCCGTCGGCTCATGGGGTACCTCAGGAGTGGCAGGCACGGTGCTGTTCGCGTTGGCCGTCGGCCATTCCGTCCCGCGGATGTGTTTGGTCTTCATCCAGTCCCGGACGCAGTTGTTCATGAGAACGTAGTGGTGCAAGTTGTCACGGGAGATAACCCGTGCGTAGCAGCGCCCGGACATGAAGTGGTCTTTAACCTGGAACAGTGATAATGGCCGAGTAAATATCTCGAGAATCTACGAATACTCAGGTACACGCAGAGAAAGAAAGTTCGGCGCGGGGACTCATCCTCAGATCGTATCGAACACCGAACTTTTTCGGTTCGAACAAAGGAAGTTTTCGGTCACGCGAATTGAATTTCGGCAAGCTGAACCAAAGTTTGGTTCCTGTGATCGAAAATTTACTCAGCCGAAATATTCCGGTTTCAACGTGAACTGAACTTTTTCCTTTTTGGACCGTGTACAGTTGTACACCCCCCGGGTATATATCGATATTTAACCTAATGCTTACCGGGTATTTACCCGTGCACTCATTCGGAATGTTTTTAAAGAGGTAAAAGTGTGTTATTTCACCATTTCATTTATTCCTATTCAACATGGATCTTCCAACAGTCTATTTTTGACTGAAAGTTTTTGCATTTATCAGTGCCATAATATAGAGCAAAGGGAACATTTTGGTCAAAACACTGTACAAATAAGGAAAATGTAACTGTATTACATTATTTTTTTGTGATTATGCTCTGAAGACGGGTTAATGCCCAAATAACGGCGTAAGCAAATGTGATATAGTAACATTTTCCTTATATGTGTGGCAGGCAATTAGCAATCGCCGACAATTTGCAAGCGGTTCACATGTTGTTTCAATAAATCGCAATAATGCGCATCGGCATGATGCAATTTTTAAGAGTTATGGCCTTCAAAAGTATGCGCTCGGCTTGAAGCGCCTTCATTTTTTGTGACACTCTACGCTTTGTCACGATGTTAGTTTAGTGACCTGTCCGATCTTAACCCAAATAATGTTACGGAGTTCACTGCACGCTCTCCTGAGTGCTCATATTTCTGTCATGTTTTCAAGGATAGAAAAGTGTCTATGGCAACATAACCAGCACTCTAATTTTGTTCCTTTATTTTTGAATTATATGATTTTCTATATTAATTCACCACTAGCTTGCAAATTGCCGGCGATTGCTAATTGCCTGCGACATATGCACAGTTTTTGGCCAAAAAATTTCCTTCGGTCTATTTTTACATAACCCGAGGGGTGAATTCCAGGGCTGGATTTACCTACTTGCCGCCCATGGGCCGCCTGTATTTTGTCGCCCCCTTCTCATTCGTTTTGAAACATCAATAAAAACCATCAAATGAACGTGCCAGCGGGGGAGGGATGCATAAGACGCGTTTACTCGTGTTGGACACATTTTTTGCGAAAGCCCTGTCCACACTACTAGCAAAAGTTCACGGAAATTTGTGCGAAAGTTAAGTTTCGTAAACCTATCTCTGTGTGGACAAGGCCTTCCATTCATAAGAAATGAACAAAAAAATTATGAGAGAACAAACATAAATGTGGATTAATGATTTTAACTTCCGCCGCCGCTGCCGCGCTAACCGCACCGTGTTTGGCGCAATGCGTGAAGTATTTCGACAGTCTTGTAGGCGCTGTGAGTTTCACGCTGACCGCACTGTGTTTGGCGCAATGCGTGAAGTTATCACGCAGTCTTGTAGGCGCTATCCGTTTCACGCTGACCGCAATGACCGCACTGTGTTTGATACAATGCGTGAAGTATTCGTGCAGTCTTGTAGGCGCTAATATGTGTTACATGCCGATCGCCGCGCCGAGGGCTTCTCCTTTTCATCTCAAGTCCTCCTCATCATTTCTCTCTAAGTCGCGCCGTTCCGGGCCAAATTGCGTGTTTTAACTATTTGGTTTCTCTCTTAACTTGAATAATTAAAGGTGCTGTCTTTTGTATCTCTGAAAGACGAAAAAATTAGAAATTATTATAATCTCAGGAAATGAGAGATTTTGTCGCCTTCTCTCGTTTGTATTTTTTTTCTAAATCCAATTTTTTTAATACCTATATTTAAAAAAATTGCAAAATTTGCCGCACCCTATAGATTTGCCGCCATGGGCCGCGGCCCACGTGGCCACCCCCTTAATCCGGCCCTGGTGAATTCTTCTAGAAATGGTAATTCTAGGACAAGTAGTCTCTAGAGTATACTGTCTCTATTTACAGGACTGACCTGGAAGCAGTCGGCGCCATCTATCTTGGGGCAGAGAGAGCTGTCGCCGTCCTTGAAGCCGGCTCTTTCGAGGTGCTCCTTGGCGTCGTTACAGTGCTTCTTCCGCTTTTTGTTCGGGTGCGAATCCGAGCCGGCGTTGTACCATTGGCAAGGGTTGCTCTCCCAGATCTCCACCCCGTTGGCTTCGATCCGCTCGTTGAGCTTGTCCTCGTGCGGGTCCATCACGTAGGCCACCGGCTTCCCGTACATGGGATCCCCGTCTGCCTCGAAATCCACCGTCTTCGGGGGTGGCGGTGGCACTGTCGGATCTTTGTCTTCGTCTTCGGATCTGACTTGCAACCTGGTTCCGGGGCCTTGGACTTCCAAGTTCGGGGTTTCTGCGTAGCTTGGTGTTCGCCACTGCATTACGTATTGCCCGGATGACCAGGTTATTAGTTTCCGGAAGTATTCTGTGGCTCGCTCCCGGTTCGTCTCGAAAGGGAGTCCAGTTTGTTGCGATGCGGAAGATTCAGCGCGTATCAGAACCTGTGCCAAATGAGGGGTATCAAATTAATGTTCACTGGAAAAAAAAGAATCCTTTTGCCGCCAAGAAGTATTTCTTCTTAAATCAAGAATTTTGCTGGTTAATATAAGCTACTTTTTTGCTTGACCCAAACATTATTTTTCTTGAATCAAGAAAAAGTCAGCTTAAAGCAAGATAAAGAAAATTCTTGGCGGCAAATTCAAGAATTATCATGCTTGATCCAAGCTACTTTTTTTTCAGTGTTGGCTGGAGTATCTTTATAGGGAGAGTATGGACAACTCGATTTATGTAGCTCTCAGGGCCCAAAAGGGCGACAACGTGAACAACGAAAATCACTAGAAAAGTGCCGCTGCTAACCTATGCACTTGAAAGAAGAATCAATAGGACCGACAGCGCATTCTATACAAGCGTTTTAAAGGATCAAGACATTGAAACTGAGAAAATTAATGCGAAATTAAAGTTTTAGACGTGCTTTATAATTTTTAATCAGGGTAAATAGTTGAAATGAGAAAAGTACCACTGGATAATTCGAGTTCATAGGTTGGCTGCCCTTTTGGGCCCCAAGAGCTACATGACCTGATCAAACCTAACGTCCAAATTTTCGACCACTATGAAGCGCCTTGAAGAAGGAAAATTCCAAATGATAGATTTGTCGCTCGGGTGCGGTTGAGTTAGTTCCGCAATACGGTGACGCTTTGTCACGGATACGCGATCTCTAACATGCGAGGGACAATTCCCACTTTATTTGCTTTATTTCCCCTGAATTAATTTCATCCCAGTCAAATTTAACGGCACGAACACACTCGAATTGTTGATCGTTTTAATTTCCAGAGTCTTTAACACGCATGCCTTAGGTACCCGTACCCGTACAGGCGTACACGATGTCAGATATTCTGGATTGTGCGAGGAATATCTCAAATCAAGGCTGAGTAATGCATCTATACTTGCCAATTTTTGACGCATCGTACCTCTCGCCCTATACGTAGTGATCAAGTGTAACTCACCTAGCACCGGAAACCTGAATTACTGTTTGCTGGACTAAAAATAAAAATAAAATGATAGTACCAACAATCGATTAACTTTTAGTTCGAATTGGGCAATCTTTCATTTTCGACGAGCACAATTTTCGGTGATGGAGTGTACTTGAACAGACCCTCCAAAACTTTTTGTCGATGTCACCAATAGGAGCTCACCAAGAATAAATTGCGGGAAAAAACAAGCTGGGCTGCTATCAGGATGGCTGTGTTAGCTGCGGGGTACCCTCGGAGACGCTTGGTGTGGTTCGCCATTGGGGAGTCATCTCTCACGACTAAATTATTGTTTAAAAAACACCCGGCTTCGTATTGCAGCACATTAGCGTGGAAACAAATAGTGGAATGGCTCGTTTTTAATCGCTCGAAGTTTGTGGACTTAGCTGTACTTGATGCCGTTAAGAGGCCTTGACGCCTTGGCTAATGATATGCTGCCGTGCTAAGGAAGAACGCCGTATGAACCTTCAGGCGTCGCCAAATTTCCTTTGATAGATCACGAATTTTTGGGAAAATTTGTACATATTTTTCCTCCAATTTTTCAGATATTTATGTTCGCAATTTCACCTAAAATTTCTAAAAATTTCAAGGAAAAATGTTCATAATTCTCCTCAAAAATAAACATTTTATCGAATGAAATTTGGCAACTCTCGAATGTTCATACGGCGTTCTTCCTTAGCACGGCAGTACGAACAAACGGTGTCATTGATGCGTTGCGTCATACCTTTGCTGCCGTGTTACCGAAGAGAACGACCAAATTTTCAACATCGAGTCCCCCTTAAAACTCGAATAATGTAATTTTAAAGAACTTAAAATCTCACATCCTTTAATGATCTTAAATAAGATTTCGTTAAAACACTATAAATTATAACATTTATTTAAAACAATTTCACGAGGGAGCATGTAAGTGCGCAAAAATAGATGTCATTTTGGACGAAACAGCAGTAAGTCCATACTATTTCGCCAAATATCTCTTGCTGTCCAATGTAGATCGCTACTCTTTTCTATCGATTTTTCCTGAAATTTGTTTGTTGCTTATCCAAAACGTAACCATTTAAGCAGGAGATAGCACATACTGCTGTCTTCCCTAACTTGAAATGAATAAGGTCTAAGGACTGACTTTATTGAGTCCCTTGCTGTCCAATGCAACTCGCTACTCTTTTCCATCGATTTTTCCTGAAATTTGTTTGTCGCTTGTCCAAAACGTAACCATTTAAGCAGGTGATAGCACATAATGCTGTCTTCCCTAACTTGAAATGAATAAGGTCAAAGGGCTGACTTTATTGAGCTAATTTGATTAACTAGCATTCAGAATAAAGAGACCAAGTTACTGATGATTGGAATAAAGTAATACTTGTGACAAATTTGACTCTCTTTTTCAGAAATGAGCGTGCAAAGTTCCTGCAGTGTATGAAAGTTGAAACTCTGAAGTTAAAACTTTTTTTTATGAGAAGTGAAAGGAAATTCTACGACCAACAGACCCCATCCCATCTAAGACACTTGGCTCCTTCCGGCTTATCTTGATTTAATCGCCCTCAATTTTACAGGATAAAAGCAAATCAATGGCTAAAGTGTGAAACCATGCATCTCCAGTTGCGACGTTGCAGACTCCTGGTCATACTTTTTTTTCTGTAGAAAACTACTAACTTCATTTCTTGAAAACTTCCTTGATTTTTCTCCTCTAGCAGCAGAATATTCCGTAGAAATTTCGAGTCATATACTGGATTTGTTTCTCTTCGAAAAAATAAATTAGGAGCAGAGATTTTGAAACACCGCGATGGAGATACGCTGTTTCGCACTATAGCGACGCCAGCACAGCGTCATAACAGTTCTCCAGCTCAAACTAACATATTTACTCTATTTGACAATTATTGTTAGCAAGGTTCAACAGTTCGGGTATCACTCTAAATTTATCTTAGGCCTGGCAATTTCACAGCATGTTTCATGAGTAACAATAAAACTCCTGTTTGTAACTATATAATATTGTTGTTAAATGATTGCTTCGACAATACAGCTTGAAACATTAGGTGGATGTTTGATCTTCAAAACATGTGAAACGGAACTCGTGTGTTACACAATTCAGGCGGAGAATGAATAAACTTCATCCTTCGACATTTTAACGGGATATTCTTCACACTCAAAATTTAAAAATTTTCAAGATTTGAATGGAGATGTTGCATGTGTGAGGAATTTGCGATTTGGCTATTATGTAAAAGTTCGCGAGAAACACTATGATGCCACTGATTTTCTCTGAAAGCAACTCCCAAGCCCAAAAAAACCTCTCAAAATGAGGCAAAAATAGAGGGGATATCCCACGCTATCCTGAGAGTCCACTTCTACATCAAGAGAAACTCGCCGTGCGAAGATGAGGAGGAAACACATTAGCAGGATTGCCGTGTTTTCAGTTATAGAGTCCCCAAGAAAAGTGGCAGCCCTGTCAATGCATTTGCTCCCTATCTTTGCATGGAGAGTTTGTCTTGATGTAGACGTGGACTCTCAGGATAGCGTGGGATATCCCCTCCATTTTGGCCTCAACTTGAGAGCTTTCTTTGGACTTGGGTGTTGATTTTAGAGAAAACCAGTGGTACCATCGTGTTTCTCGCGAACTTTCACAAAAGAATCAATAGTCAAACCGCAAATTCCTCACACATGCAACATCTCCATTCGGGTATAGTATCCAATTTAAGGAAATGCTGGTAGATTTCGGAAACAAGCTACACGTTTTGTCGTATGGCAATGAAGTAACATATTACGTAGTGGATTATTGACTTTGGGTACTTTACCATTCCTCTATAGAATTGTCTAAATCAACAATACGTTAACTTACGGTTTTTGACAGGCAGTCGATTGAGTTTCAGTAAGTTCATAGATCTCATTTAAATATGAATGTGTCAAAAAATCTATTGGGTCTCAAAGTCTCTGCTTCATTCTTCTTTATTTTCAAAGAAACCCAACTATTATAATACTAACAAATTGTCTGTGATATACCTAATTTTAAGCGAGTGAAACAATTCATAGAAACTTTGAAGGAGAGCTATTGTTCTGATCTCTTTTTTAAAAAATATACCATAAGCGCAGATTTACAACATTACAATCGGAGATACGCATCTTTCAACTTCAGCCATCGATGTGAGTGTTTCCTGTAAAAAAAATATCTCTTAAATGACAATAGAAAAACTAATTCACTTATCGCGGTTCGCGGTGTGGCAGCTTTTTCATCGCGTTGTACTTTTTACAAGTATGACTGATCGTAGTCAAAACATGACATTTTGTGCGAGATTTCTTCGTCCTTCCGTGTATACATTTTCTGAAATTTTCTCTTCAACATGTCCGTTGAGAGATGCTTGAATAAATGAAGAAGGAGCAGATATTTTGAAAAACATTGAAATTCATGTTTTGTAGTTTCATCGTCAACGTGAAGTTTTTTCTGGAGAATATTCAAGGTCGGATTTACCTACTTGCCGCCCATGGGCCGCCTGTATTTTGCCGCCCCCTTCTCATTCGTTTTGAAATACCAATAAAAACTATCAAGTAAACGTGCCAGCGGGGGAGGGATGCATAAGACTCGTTTACTCGTGTTGGACATATTTTTTGGGAAAGCCCTGTTAACACTACTAGCAAAATTTCACGGAACTTCGCGCGAAAGTTAAGTTCCGCAAACCTATCTCTGTGTGGACAAGGCCTTTCATTCATAAGACATGAACGAACAAATTATGAAAGAACAAACATAAATGTAGTTTAATGATTTTAACTTCCGCCACAGCGCCGCTGCGTAGACTGCACTGTGTTTGGCACAATGCGTAAAGTATTCCGACAGTCTTGTAGGTGCTATGCGTTTCACGCCGACCGCTGCTGAACGCACTGTGTTTGACGCAATGCGTGAAGTATTCACGCAGTCTTGTAGGCGCTAAGCGTTTCACACTGACCGCACTATCTTTGGCGCAATGCGTAAAGTATTCATGCATTCTTGTAGGCGCTATCCGTTTCGCGCTGACCGCAGTGACCACACTGTGTTTGATGCTATGCGTGAAGTATCCGTGCAGTCTTGTAGGCGCTAATATGTGTTACAGGCCGATCGCCGCGCCGAGGGCTTCTCCTTTTCATCTCAAGTCCTCGTCATCATTTTTGTCTAAGTCGCGCCGTTCCAGGCCAAATTGCGTGTTTGGTTTCTCTCTTAACTCGATTAATGAAAGGTGCTGTGTCTTGTATCACTAAAAGACGACAAAATTAGAAATTACTATACTCTCAGGAAATGAGAGATTTCGTCGCCTTTTCTTGTTTGTAATTTTTTTTTACCAAAATTCGATTTTTTTTTAAAAATTGCAAAATTTGCCGCCTCCTTGATTTGACGGGCCGCGGCCCATGTGGCCAACCCCTTAATACGGCCCTGCGCATTTTTTTTGGACTTATCATCAGCCAAAAGAAAAAGGAGGAAAAATATAAAGGTAGTCCAAGATGCATTTTCCGCCGTGCGGTGCGCGTGCAATTGAGGACACTGCCGTACTAAGGAAGAACGCCGTATGAGTGCTCAATCGCTGCCAAATCTCCTCAGTTAGAATACAAATTTTCGGGGCAATCTGTGAATATTTTTTCTGCCATTTTTAGAGAATTTTATTCGCTATGATATCTAATTTATCAGGAAATTTCAAGAAAAAATGCTCATAACTCTCCTTAAAAACAAACACTTTATCGGAGGAAATTTGGCAACTATCGGAAGTCCATACGGCGTTTGTGTGTAGCACGGCAGAACAAGTGTTTTGACAGCAAGCATCATTTAATATGTTAAGAGAAGTTTTTTTTGTTTGTCACTCTGAAAAACCCACCAGCACGAGGACATCTGTTGACAGGCCCGATACATTTAACCCTGAAAGTAAGGAGAACCTCTAAAAATCGATGAATTGCTTTAGTTCAAAGAAAACCAACGAGCGGCAAACATTTTCAACGACTCAGTTGAGCTCGTAAGATTCCATGAAGAATGTATTTTTCGACATTATTTTATTTTATTTTAAGTGGCATTGTCGCCGGCAACTTACCCTTCCAACGCGACTCGGATGACGACTCTTTCCTGACAAAGGTATGCATGAACACATT